ACAGAAGCCCCAGGGAAGGAGCAGGAAGATGGATAAAGGAGCAGAAAATCCACTAACAAGACAAAAGAGAAGAAGAAGAAAGTGAGATCAATGAGTATAGAAAAGTTAAAGAAGGAGAGCAATAAGACAGACAGCGATACAAAACAGCAAAAGGTAAAGAAACAAAACAGCAACATCCACACATACATGTTCGCATCCTCAACTTGCTTGACCCAGTATACAAAGTTCACATCTTCATCGCTATTTGTTCGAACACTTTGCCACATACTGATCCCACCGTCTCAGATTGCCTCTACCCAAGACGATGTTCTCCCTCTTGCGTTATTACAAACTATTTTCTACCAAGAATTATAAGTTTGGTTAGATATTTGTGGATATGTTACGAGAGAGAGAGAGAGAGAGAGAGAGAGAGAGAGAGAGAGAGAGAGAGAGAGAGAGAGAGAGAGATTAAATAGTTTTTATAATGTTCAGCATAACAATATTTAAGTCCCTGCTATTTGTGTCAACACGCTCTTAGTAACTTATAAAATACATCCAGTGAGGCTTAATACCCCAAGTATATTTGTAAATTAAATATCCACCTACGTCCACATGTAACCTAAATAAAACTATGAAACATCTAAATCAAAATTGTATCAGCAGCTCTATGAATACAAATCTAGACAAAGTGACTGACTGACTCAATGGATATATTATTTTCCCCCCACCCACCCAATCCATCTCAGCCCTAATCTAGGCTCAGATTATTATGGGAAGAAAGCTGTAAAGTCGTCTTCTGTTTCATTACTGTAATTATCATCATGGGAAGCTGTATCTTCTTGATGTTCCTGTGTGTTTGTTTACTATGTGTGGATGTTATTGTGAGTTATTATTATTACTGTTATTATCATCGTTATCATTGTCATTATCATTATCTTCAATGAGATGGATTAACACAGTACCATATATCCTCTCCTCGACCCTACAGTTACAGTAAAGTCTTAAGTGTAATCTTGACTACCATCGCTTTTGTGCCGTATCTTAGGTCAATCAGGTCAATTAGTTCACAAGCCTTAATTACTGTAAAATCAATTTGACAACTGACCTGGTGACTGGCTGGGTAGAGGGTAATGAGAGAGTAGGGAGTTGACTGACTGGACGAGTGATTGGACAAGATAGCTCTGTCAATTACAACTACCTGGTCTACGTATTGGGATAGAGAGAGAGAGAGAGAGAGAGAGAGAGAGAGAGAGAGAGAGAGAGAGAGAGAGAGAGAGAGAGAGAGAGAGACTAGACCGCTAGTAGGGAGAATAATAAAAGGAAATAAACCCTCCTCGGTAAATTAGTATCAGTGAGTCAGTGAAGAAGGGCAGTCAAAGGGCCAACTACGCAGTCCGAAATAACATATAAGTCTTTTAGATAGAATATAACCCAGAGCAACGAGAGTGTGTCTTACACCTTCTATTAACTGATTGACTGAATAACTTACTGAATGCTAAGTGACAGCACCGTACTGAGGTTGGGAGGGAGGGAGGGAGGGATAAGGATGGGGGATGGAATCGGAGAGAATACGAATGAGGAGGAGAGCAGAAAGGAAGCCGAGGAAGGTAATGGCGGTGTGGTGTTAGAGATAGGAGGAAAAATGGAGGGAAAAGGGAGGAGGAAGTAAAGGGGAGGGAGGTGAGGTAAGTGGAGGGAATGGATGGGAGGGAATGGGATTATCATGGAGAGGGAAGACATGGGGAAGGTGAGGGATAAGAAGAGAAAGGGAGGTGAAGGGGTGGAACAGGGGAAAATACAAAGGAATGGGAAGGAATAAAAAAGGAGAATTAAGAGAATATGGAAGGAAGAGGGATGGTAAAGGAAGATGAGAAAAGGGGGGAGGAGATGCAAAGGGACAGACAATGTGAAAATGGGAGAGAAGGAAAGGTAAAGGAAACAGGGGGATAGGAAAAGAGAGAGAGAGAGAGAGAGAGAGAGAGAGAGAGAGAGAGAGAGAGAGAGAGAGAGAGAGAGAGAGAGAGAGAGAGAGAGTTTGTCACACGGTGTGCAGGTAGTGACACCAATTATGCCAAACACCTGCCTATTAGCCCCGTGTCTCAGAGCAGCTTACCTGAATATTTAAGATAGTCTTCCTTAAAGTCGCTGTATTTAGGGACGAAGCTCAGTCAGACTTAACGATATGAAAGGTTGAGTCGCTAAGATATTGTATACATAAAAAACATAAATAAAAAAAGAAAAATTATTACCCGACGGAAAAAATAATAATAATAAATAAAAAGTGGATTAACGATATTATTTTAAGGCGAGGAGACGATAATATTTTAATAGGTGGGTGAACATTTTTTTTACGAGATAGGACAGTAATTTTATATTTTTTTTAGGTAAACAGATTAGATTAGTATTCCAGGTGGATGAAGGATATTTATTTTACGGTTGGAGGAACTATATTGATTACCACGAAGAAGAATTATATATTTCGTCAGGTGGGAGAATGTTATTATATGCAAAGGTATGTGAACCTCTCCCCTGGTTACTTCCCTTCCTTAGATACTCCCATCTCCCCCACCCTCCCCTACCCTATTACACCATGCCCTTAGATTATTCTCTTCCCCTTTCGTATAAATATCCCTTTTCTCTTCATCACTTCTCTCCTCTTCAGCTTTCTCTCCTTCTCTATTTCCTCCCCACTCTGAGCTGGCCTGTCTTCCACCCTTCTCCCCTACAAAACATCCCCATCAAATAAGCCTTCCCATCTCCCCTAGATACTCCCCTAAACACTATCTCCCTCAACTAAACCTCCCCTCCCCCTCCCCCTCTTCCTCCCCAGGCATCATCCTCTGACTCCACTCCCTATCCCACGCTTTACTCCCCCTTTGGATAATCTCCCAGTGTGAATTAATGGCAGAAAGTTGAGTGTGTGGATGGAGCACCAAGCAGACGGCACTCACACTCACTGGCTGATGGCCCTGTCATGACCTGGCAGAGTGAGCATGGCTGGCAGTATTGTATATGACCTGATAATGTTGTATTATATGTTGTTATTGTGATGAGGATGATGAAAATGGTGGTGATAAAATACTACTACTACTACTACTACTAATAGTAATAATAATAATATGAATAATAATAATAATATGAATAAGAGCAACAACAATTATCAATTACAATAATGAAAACCATTTATTCCACTGAAAAAACAATGTATATTACAGCGTGTATTATGTATTATCATAAAGCTGAATTTTAATTTCCTATTTACTCGTCCTTTTAGGGATTAAGTTAAGCCGGCGCTCAGTTGGTTACACGACATATTATTTAAAAACAATACAGGTATAACCAAATCCACGCTGACCGTTTTCTGGTCACAGATTCACTAAAGCTCGTATGTTGAATCCTGCGCTTAACTGAAGTTGTAAGACCTCAAGTAATTATCTAACTACATTATAAAACACTTATAAAGGTCCAAAATGGCACCAAAAGTATACTTATACTCTACTATAACTAGACACATTTGCTTAGCACTATTTAGAGGACGGAAAATAATGGGTAGGTTAACTTTGCGAATCTGGACCAAAATTTTAAGCGATGATTCGTCATAACTGGGCCCCGGTTGTCGTATATTGAGGCAACAAATGTGTACTGAGTGACGAAACGACATACAGGGTAAATCGCTGTTAAAACCCACCAGGACTCACGGAAATGAATATTTATTATATATGAAAGAATTTGCTGTTTCTTTCTTTTATTTTATTACAAAAGCTGTTTCCGTGAGACAAACACAAGGTGAGGTTCTCCAAGGTTCACAACCCGTATCCTTTATTATCATTATTATTATTATTATTATTATTATTATTATTATTAGTAATAGTAGTAGTAGTAGAATTATTAACTGGGGATAATTATTGCTAATATCACTACTATTATTACTGTTTTGTATCATTATTATTTATAATTACATAATATTAGTATCCCAGCTCGGGATGAGAGAATGTTCTAACAGCTAGTTATTTTATGAATAGTCTGCGTAATTTTAGCTCACGTTTGGTTACCATCTCTGTGTCGGTCTATGAATGATAAATTTTATACATTCTCGCGTTATCAGTTAGGATGAGTCAAGTGAGTGAGTTTTGGTGAGTAAGTGATAGGTATAGTACGTGTCTGGCTAACTTGGGTGTATAAGATGGGCCTCGTCTTGACCAGGATTCTCAAAAGTTAGTACAATGAATCTTCCTCGTTAAGTGGAGACCTGAACAAAAATATTGTCTCACAACACCTAAATGATACATATCGAATTTCTACTGAGACTATAGTAACTGTGTACATTCTCATATCCTCAGTTAAAAGATAAAAATTAAAGTAGAGACCATTGAGAACATGACCTTGTATTGTATGTCCAACAATAGTCACAAAAAATAAAGATTGGTGTAATGGCGCACGGCGGGAGCCAGATGTTTTCAATTAATTATCAGAGGAATCACACCGCCGAGGCTGTGTCGTGCTAGTTCAAGGGACCCAACGGGTAATTTTGTAAGTTACCAGCAACTGCCATGATGTACTGTGTATATATGTCGTACGAGTCATTTTAGAGCACGTTCAACCAACAGCAGCAGTAACCTTTAACGCCTCTGGAGGAGTCTCTCACTGCATATTACCATTGATTTAGGGTGTTGGAAAATTAGTAGCTGATGCAGACTGGTTGCTGCTAATCCTATGTTGCTTTTTAGGTACTCGCTGGCGGGACGGTAGCTGTTGGTACTCTGGAAATTGAGGTGTAGTTACCGGAGACCCGACGAAAACATACAAATCGCATGTAAAAATGGGTGAGGACACTTGATGCAGCGGCGATATGAATGTCTCGTATCTCACTTGGAACTAGAGCGCATCATCACTTGAGATGAGAAGAAAAAGTATACATTAACTGCCCAGAAACTTGAAGATCAACGCGCCGTCTAGCGACATCTGGCAGTAGCAATAAATATTCTGTGAGCTCCAAGCTGGCGAGTCAGTGAGTGCTGAACTGTGGTAAGGGATAGACCGCTCTGCCTGCCGGTCTCCCTGGCCCGCTCCCTTCACTATCGCGCTCTACCAGTCTATTAGACTTAGCGACTTTGAACAACGATGGACCTGGCAAAAATGTAACTTAGTAGAAAACTAGCGCTGTTCTGTCGCTGCGTAGATGACAAATGATTATGAACTGTAGGAGATGATAGAATGGATTAGAGTTAGTGCGCGTTTACGGTGGTGACAGGGAGGACAAGTGTAACACTAGACCAGCGTGCTGGGGACCACCCCAGGCATACGGATTACCGCAAATAGACAGTGGACGACGGCTCCTCTTAACCCAGGGTCGTTTGGATTACGTGTAGACAACCTGGAGGGGGTCATTATTACCTGGTGAAAAGAGTAGTGATAATTGTGTCTACCTGAGGAAAATAATCGAAAAAACTGTAGTTTGGAAAACAAAAGTTAATAATTTCTATACCTAGAAATTTCCAGTTTGTGCATTGCAATACAATATTTTACATGTGTCTGAAAGATTACTGAGTAGGAACTTGACCTTTGATCAAGTACACAATATGTGTGGCAAAAGGTGTTAGTTCCAACATTATTTCCAGACACAAAAAACAAAAGGAAAAAAATAAATTATGAAAGCAAAAGCCTAAGGCGAACACTTCGTTGTGAACCGTCAAAGTCCGCCACAATAACGACAACGTTTCAACAAAAGATTAGAACAAACGAACAGCCTCAGGTGATCGTTACATTGCTAGTTGTTCTCTAGGCTGAGGTAAAATACTGTTGTATAGCTCATGACGACCCCTGCAGTCAACTATGTGTAAGGCAACATTATTTAGCCTGGCAGGAGCGTGGCTGTGCGCGCGGTAGCTGTTGCCCATGTTAGAGTAGCTGTAGTGGCACATTACCAACAGTAGCGGTGAAACGGTGCCATTAAATAAAGAAGTTTAGTGAAGGAAACAGTGACAATAAGATAAAGCTATCTTGACAATAGTACTAGTATCGTAGACAAGAGTAATAGAAACAGTTCTAACAGCAGTGACCACAGAACTATTAGCAGTGAAAACAGTACTTGGAGCAGAGACAATAGCACCAACAAGAAGAGGAGGAGCGAGGGCAGGAGGTGGGCAGGAGGGTGGGAGGAGTGGGCACTAAGCAGGTGTGGGAGCGGGTCCAGCTGTTTCGAGGGCCCGACTGCCGCTGCTGCTACCCGCTACCACTGCCCACCATCGATCACGGCTCACCAGCACACGCGCCCCGCGCCTCCCCTGCCACGTGCTCCACACACCTGCGCGCCCTCACGTGTGTCTAGTACATGTGGTAAGTTTATAACGACGGGCAGGGCTGGCAGGCACCTGGGCCGTGGGGCCCTTGTGGACACGGATCATGGACACTTGAAGAGGCAGTGTGAGCACCTGTCAACCCACACACGTGTCCCAATGCTTCCCATTGCCCCTGCCGCTCACACTCTTATACGCCCTGGCATGTTGCTGGTGCTATTGGTGTTGGTGGGCGGCGTGGGCGGCCGCCCACCCGAGTGTGAGTGGAAGTTGGAGAACGCCGGGGTGACGGCTGGGGGCAACGGGCAAGTCCGCACCAGCTGCCACATTCGGACGCTAAGTCGAGCGTTGTTGACGGCAGGCAGCAGCAACACCTCGTTGTCGGTCCTGACTCGTGCCATCCACGTGAACATCCTCACACTGCACTGCTCAAGGCAGGTTGTCTTTGAGTCAGAAGTTACAGCAGGGATGTTCACTGTGTTCCCAAAGCTGGAGGACCTGCAGATCCTCGGGTGTAAAGTGACGGAGCTTCCCCCGCACGTCCTGGCAGGCCTCCCACACCTGAGGCGCCTCACGCTGCGGGCACACCACCAGGACTGGCCTGGGGCAGCACTCACAGTCCATCCTGACGCCCTTGTTGATTTGAGTCGACTAGAGGCCCTCGACCTGGCCCACAATGCCCTATGGTCCTTACCACCGGCTGTGTTGTGCCAACTGCCCTCCCTCACCACTCTCAACTTGACGCACAACCGATTGCACCACCTACCTGACCTCGGCCTGGGCCCTCACCGGATGCAGGGAGAGGAGAGTGACCTGCCTGCTGGGTGCTCGTTACCGCTGCAACACCTCGACCTCTCCCACAACCAGGTTTCTGAGGTGCCTGAGCGAGCCTTCATCAGTGCCAGGGACCTCCGGACTCTCTCTGTCAGACATAACCGCGTCGCACACCTCGCCGATTGGGCCTTCGGTGGTTTAAATTCACTTGTAAGATTAGACTTTTCTCACAATCGCTTGGTGGCAGTGCCGAGGTCTGCACTAACAGACTTGAGGCAGTTAAAGGAACTCAATCTCTCAAACAATTCTCTTAGTGTCCTAACCCCTGCAGCCTTTAGCAGTCTGGGTCAGCTGCAAACTCTAGACCTCAGTCACAACCAACTTACCTTGGGGACCAGCAATGTGGAGCCTTTCAACGGTCTTATTCGTCTGGTGGTTCTGAACCTCTCGTACAACCTCCTGGTACACCTGGGCTCGGATACCTTTAAGGACTTGTACTCCCTCCAGAAACTACATCTGGAATACAATAATTTGGATCACCTCTCTGATGCCACCTTCGCTGGTCTGGCCAACTTACATACATTAGACATGTCGCACAACCAACTGACAACACTTTCCGGCAGAGCTCTTCAAGGTTTAGCTGTATTAACTCACTTATCTCTCGACCACAATAAGCTGGAGACTGTACATACAGCAGCCTTGGACAACTGTACATCTTTACACTATTTGAGTCTCGCCCACAATGAGCTGCTTGTCCTGCCGGAGGCTGTGATGCGAGCTCCACTTTTAAGAGTACTTGACCTGAGCCATAATCAAATTCCTTGTATTGAGGAAGGTGTCCTTCATGGCCTCGTGCATCTCCAGGAGCTCCGGATGTCTCACAACGTCTTGAATAATGTAAGTAAGGCCTCCTTGGCCGAAGTCCCATCACTCAGCTACCTTGACCTCTCTCACAACGCCCTAACGGACATTGAATATGGGGCAATTGAGGCCACGCCCAAGCTCATGGGTCTCGACCTCCACCACAATTATTTGGGGGACATAAACGCCCTGGTGACTCTCCTTCAGAACCTCACCTGGCTTAACGTCTCACACAACAGCATTTCCTGGTTTGATTATGCCCTCATTCCGAAGAATCTGGAATGGATAGATCTAAGTTACAACCAATTGAGTAAATTAGAGAACTACTACGAGGTTCAGAAAACTCTTGGACTTAGGATACTTTATGCTGCACATAATAACATCTCTGATATTAATGCAGAAGTTGTTCCAGATGGCATAGAGGAACTTCATCTTCAGCATAATGCCATCTCTTATGTGGCCTCCAATACCTTCCTAGACAAAACCAAGGTCTTGCTCATTGACTTGCGGTACAACTTGCTAACGATTCTGGAAGAGGCAGCATTGAGGATTTCGTCTCGAAAAACACCTGCTCCCCACCTGATGCTTTCCCACAACCCTCTTCAGTGTGATTGTGCTGCAGACTGGCTCTTGAGGGCTGCTGGCGCAAGGATTGGGGGTCCAGTGGGTGGGGGATCTATATTACCACGCCTAGGAGATGTAGGATCCGTCGAATGTCGCTTACCAGGCTTGTGGGAGGAAGCCGTGGTGCCCTTGATAACTGTACAACCACAACAGTTCCTCTGCACATACCGTCGACACTGCTTTACACTCTGCCACTGTTGTGACTTCGACGCGTGTGATTGTGAACAGACGTGCCCCAGGAACTGCACCTGCTACCATGACCATACATGGACGCACAATGTAGTAGACTGTGGTGGTGGTTGGACTCATATGCCCTCAGGAGTACCTATGGATGTCACTGAGGCCTTTATGGATGGCAACTCCATGGGTGCTTTGACTTCTCATGCCCTCATTGGCCGTAAAAACTTGAGGGTTCTTCACCTCAACAACTCCGAAATCACTGTCATTCAGAACCGAACTTTCAACGGGCTCAAGAACTTACAGGTATTGAGGCTCGAAAATAACAGAATGGAGGCCCTGCAAGGCTTTGAGTTCGTTGATCTGCATGGCCTTCGTGAGCTTTACTTGCAGAACAACCACTTGAAACACCTGAGCAACATTTCCTTCTCTCCACTACGAGCAATAGAGTTGCTGCGGTTGGATAACAACTTACTAATGACCTTCCCAGTGTGGAACCTTGCCCTTAACCCCTTTCTGCTAGAAGTAAGCCTCTACCACAACCCTTGGAGTTGTGAATGTAGTTATTTAGCTAACCTCAGGGCTTGGTTGGAAGCAAACCGCATCAAAGCAACCAATGCCAGTCTTATTCGCTGCCATCACAACAGCACTGGTACAGAGGGTCCTGCAGTGCTCTCTGACACGCCCGTGAGGTGCGACCACTACGTGGCCACCACCAGAATCAATAACCTCATTATTCATGACTACGTTATGCTGATGCTCATCACGGCCGCGCTGCTGCTCCTGTTGCTGGCTGCCGCCATTATGGTGGTGGCTTACCGCCGACGCCTAAAGCTTTGGGCAGTCAGCCGCTATGGTAAGCGCCTGTTTGAAAAGTCCTCTGCTTATGTTGAGGAGCGAGAAAAACTCTTCGATGGATTTGTCACCCACAGTGCCAAAGACTCAACCTGGGTGTGCGGTCTCATGGCTCCTGAACTGGAGGCGTTGGGATACCGGTTGTGTGTGGCTCACCGTGACTGCACAGCCCCTTCAGCACCTGTGGCAGGTCGAGCCATTGCTGAGAGCATCGCTTGCAGCCGTCGCGTGGTGGTGGTAATCTCCAGGGGACTGGTGGACGCCGAGTGGTGTCGCTACGACTTCAAAAGTGCCCATGTCGATGCTTTAAGGGGACTTCGACATCGAAACATCCTCATCGTCATGTTGGAAGACGTGCCAAGATCAGAGCTCGACCCTGAACTAGCCACCATTGTTCGCACGGCGGGCACTATACTTCATCCGCGTGACCCTCGGTTCTGGGATAAGTTACGGCGAGCGATGCCCTCGCTGCGCTCTCATCGCTTGCCTCCAGGACTTTCTGCAACTCTTGGAGGGAAGGCGGCTAGTCGGCCTCTTGTGGCTGCTGAACAGCAGAATGGTCCTTCTTGGCCTCTACCAGAGACCAAGACCTTGGGCCGTACCCCTACTAAGTCCCTTACTGTCAACCCATACTGGGAGACGGCCGTGGGTAACAACGTGTCAGAAGCGGCGGCGTGGGCGTCGAGGAGGGGACCAGACCTTGGGGCACCTCCTTGGTTGCACAGCCCCACGAAACCTCCGTCCCCAGCTCCAACTAATGAGGCGAGAAATGGCGTGGCGTCGCCTCAAGGTTCCTCAAGCGTCCCCGAACACACGTACATGAGTGTGAGCGAGTGTGGGGAGGTCAGAGCTTCATTACTTCCCGCCAGCACCCTCTCTACGCTGGCTGGACCAAACTCCTTGGCCAGCGACAGCCCCTCGCTGGGTGGTAGAGGGACCGGAGGGGAAGGGGGGAGTGTTTCTAGGCCCACCGCCCCACCTCTGTTCCGTCGAGATGCCCCCGACTACCTCACCCGCAGCTGGATCTTCCACCCACCCCCCAACGAGCAACCTCCCCCGCCGGGCCAGACGTACTTCGTCTAGGGCTCACCGCCTCCACCTATGCACTCCCTCCAGTCGTCCCCACCTTTCGAGTGCTGATAACCACGCCCTCCCCGCCCGCCCATTAAGCTTTAGCTGCATCTCGTCCATATCATATCCCCAGCAGCTAGTGTAGCCTTACGCCCGCCTGCCTAGCCCACCCTGGCACTGCTTCCAGTCTTTGTTTAGGTCTATTTTTCAGACCACAAAACCCACAGCATCTCCCAACTCAGATAATCCTGGCATTCGGGTCCATTAACCCTGTTCCTGACCCACCCAACTCATCTCCTTTTTCCCCCTCTCCACTCCTCCATGTCCTCAACACCTCACGCGAGGGATTGGCCCGCACACATTCCGCCCACACCCACAGTCTACAACGCCCACGGCCGCCCCAGGTGTCGCCGCCCGCACGATCGTCGCGACACCTGAGGCGACAGTGGAGTACACAGCTGTGATGCAGAGAAAGAGTCGCCCCATCAGTGCTTTCTGAACTGTGTTGGACACTGTTGTAACCAGTGGACACACCAGAGTTCTCTCAGCTCTTGTGCAAGTTTCACCAAAATGAATCTTTGTAGATAAAGGCAATAAGGGAAAATTTGTTTAGCTTCGAGGTATCAATTTATAAGCTTAGCCAGAAGCTGTCAATGTGCATATAACTACTGAGTGAGTCGATGGTCGAGCAGCGGCGCGCGGAGTGTATGTGTTCTGTCCTTGTTGCCATGTCCGGACTCTGCTTCACCTGAGTAGGATGGTAACAATCCACGCCAGGTTGACTACGGCAGTTAGCAAGTGACTTACATGTAGAAGTGCCAAGGGACGCGCTGCGCAGAAACCCAGCAGGATTTTTTATTGGTTTTTGTTCCAACTGAAGAACTTGCAAAACGTATCCCATGTCCACCCACTGGACACCAGGACTTAGCAGCTTATATTCTTCTCCCTCCCCGGCCCCTCCTACACCCGGGGGTGCGCCCCCCTACTGTGTGGGGACTAAGTGACGCACGAGAAGGAGGAAGCTGAGCAACTCCTGCTATGTATATCTCATTGGATCTTCCACATTTTCTTACCCATTAAATATATTGTAAACTTCACTTCGAATCTGAGCGATGATGACTAACTATTATATATATATATATATATATATATATATATATATATATATATATATATATATATATATATATATATATACATACATGTATATATATATACATACATATATATATATGTATATATATACACATATATATGTATATACACATATATATATATATATATATATACATATATATATATATATATATATATATATATATATATATATATATATATACATATATATATATATATATATATATATATATATATATATATATATATATATATATATATATATATATATATATATATATATATATATATATATATACACACACACCAAGAAACTATGTAAAAAGAAAAGAGATTTGGTTCCTTCCCTTTGACCATGTTATAAGTGACCTCCATCACTCTCGATACTCCATAGCAACTGTCATGGAGTGAGGTCACCAGTCAATAATTTGCAGAGACCGACACTCGTATTCCAGAACGCTGCTCACACTCAACCTCGCTTGGAAGGCAGACCACAGCCAATCACCTTCCACCTCATGGATATTAAACCCAAAGGCGACTCAGTTTCAAGCGTTTATCTATGCTTAATGATACGACTCGATCATTATATCGTCGCAGCTATCAAAACATATATATTTTTTCACACATGTTGTACACATTGGTCAGCGCACGAGAGACGGCCAGCTACCAGGTCAAGCAGGTTGTGTGTGAGTGATGTTGTGGGATGCGGTACTTTATTTTTTTGTACTCACAGGGTGTCCATCGACCATGAGTGTCTGTATATATTGTTGATGTTGGGCGAACGTTGGCGACACTGTCATGTGCCAGCGCCTCGATTCCTTGTTTGTATAGTTGTGTATGATGTATGAGTTGTCTGCCCCATGTGTATAATTTACAAAAACAAAGGTGGTGTATGATTTGTATGATGATGCCTACCATATAAGCCTGAGTTGTATGGTTTTATAAAGTTGACATTTTGTATACTAACAGCTCCTATGTACAGAATAAGTTAAAATCTATTATTTGCTGATGGTTGGTTTGTAAAAATGGTTTGACCAAAGTTCACCTAACTGCCACTTAATGTGTGCTTATGTTATATATATATATATATATATATATATATATATATATATATATATATATATATATATATATATATGCAAGTAAATCACTGTGGGTGGCTATCCCATTCTATATCACAAGAAACAAGAAAACACGAAGTTCCCAAGGGACAGCAGGTGTCTACCATATGAGATAATAAGCATTGCATTGACTGGGATAATGCCTCCTCAATATTACTTTGTAATTCAATTGTCAGTAGGAACATTTTAGAATCTAGTCTCATTAAACATAGCGTATCTGTCAACATGAATTTGAGTAATGGCATGTACAAATTGGACAATTTTGCTGTCCCTAGGGACTTGATATCACTTTCCTTTACTGTATATATTAGCCTTATCAATTATTACTCCTTAGTCTATACTCACCCCTGAGGATGTGAATTACACGAAAGCGCTTGGGAACTTCGTGTTTTCTTGTTTCCTTGTGGATATCAGCATATACCTAGATCACGCGCACCCACAGTGATTTACTTGCATATATATATATATATATATATATATATATATATATATATATATATATATATATATATATATATATATATATATATATATATATATATATATATATATATATATATATATCTTCCACATTCAAGATGCTGAATACTCCTGATTGATATTTATATAATTAATTACTGACCACCTTGGTATTATCAGGCCATGTACAAGTTCTCTGTATAATCCTTTTGAAATATATTTAAGTTTATCGTAAGTAAAATGTAGATGAAATTGATATTAGGTATTCAGTAAAGAATATCAGTTATGGCTATATTTTATTGTAGATAAAGTTTATATGAAAATGTGTTTGTATTGTAAATAAAAGATGTTTTGGTTTTTGCCTCTCAAATATTTGCGTGTCCGCCTCTGGTATTCATGCAGATCATCTAGTGACTCGGAGAACTTAACTGCCTGTGGGATTATATAGTGGTATCAGCTTCAGAAACCTACAACCATTGCCATCTACCTGCACCCAGATTCATAAAGACTCGTACCATCAATATTTCTTTTGTAAATGAAGATGTAAGACATCACCTGACTGGGTGACTTAAGCTAAGGAGCTAAGAAAACATCCCCCCAAAAATTAAAATTATGTTAACACAATTTTTAAGAAAAAAAACTAATGCACAGAATCTATTGGAACAGATTCAGTACATTGTTGTTGTATAAATCGATCAAATAAAGTTGTCCTAATGTAATTTTAATATTATTTATGGATGCAATTTTAGTATTTGAGTTAAATTCATCCAGATATCTAGAATCTCACAGCTTTGTCTACGAGGAATGATGATCATACGAACCTTTAAAACTGTCGACCCTGGTCCCCATGGTTGATGTATTGTTTCAGTGTTCTGCAGAAAACATGTAAATTATGCAAATTATATAATAGAGATGGTATTTATTTTAATAGTGTCCTTGACCGTGGATTTCACTTTTTTTTACGTTAATAAATTAATAACTCATTACTGTCATTAGATTTATATTAAGACTTAAAAGGTTATTAATGAAAGTTTAGTTAAAGACTTTCGTGTCTGTGTTTCTAGAAGTGTCGTGATATTTTTTATTTGGTTAAATGGAAATTGTGATGGTATATTTTTGCATATACTGTGGCTAGGAGGAACCTAACTAGCCCACGCCTTCACTGTTTTATACAACCAGTCTACACCTCCACCATCTTCAACTACCTTAACTATGCGTTATAAATTAGATATTGTCAAACACTCAGTCTCACAATATTCTAGTCGATGTATGGATGAAAAATAAATCGACTGTGTTTTGTTAAATGCTGTTAGATTGCATTCTATATATATTTACGTTACTCTTGTACACTAAAAATGTATGTTTATTTCAGTTATCAGAATTATTAATGTCTTTTATAAAAAAATATAACCAAAGAAATTCTTGAATTTTGTATCCCATGTTATTGTTGCAGAGGAAATGTGAAATGATTTTGATCTGTACGAAACTTTCCTGGAAGGTGGTCACCCTGTCCATGTTGTGATATGCTCACCCAGTCTTGTCCGTCTATTGTCAATAAAAATCGTTCATGTGCTCGTCGTATCGCTCAACCTACTGAAGAAACTTTGGAATCTCATTATCAATCATTGCATATCTTGAATTTTTCATAAAATAACAACAATCTTGTTTCAGTGTTCCTCCTAACTTAATGTAAGGATAACCTAGAAATACTAAAAAAAAAATAACCAGCAATTTATCTCTGATGGGGAAGCTAAAATAAAGCCAAATTTAGGTATTAGAAAGTATTTTACAACTTAGATAATCTAATAATTCCTCTAATTGTGGAATGTTTATTATACTCTAACTCCATCACACAAACTCTTAGGAAAACAAGTGATAGAAAGATGAACGAGGAAAGTACTAAAAAAAATAATAAAATAAGTTAAAGCTGCATCACAACATTAATAGATAAATACGATTCTAATACAACAGCAAATGAAAGGCTGTGTTAAAGGTTGTTAGTACTGATGAATATACGTTTCAAAGTTTACTACATGAGTAACTAATATATAACATTTGCAGAGCATCAAAAACTAGGATTAAGTATCAGCATAAATAACATAACTCAGAAAAATTAAGGATATTCAGGCGTTGCTCATAATGTATACCCGTATGTACACTATCATCTACACCTTTGGGGGTGGGAGGCCCACCACTGGGGTCAACCTCCCTAAACTCTACCCTTGGGACACTTCTGAAGTACATGCACAACTCAATGCCAGATTTCAGCTCTCTATCTTTAAAACTGTATCCGTAGATATCGAACAGACACACAAGCAACCAGGCATACATGTATACACTATGTATTATGCATTTCGTGTGTGTGTGTGTGTGTGTGTGTGTGTGTGTGTGTGTGTTTGTATATATGTTTATCGTTACTTATGATCCTTCTCTCTTTCATGTAAATTTTCCTATTAATTCTATTTATCTAACACCGGCTGAAACCTAACAGTATTATACGATTCTATCAATCATGATAATCCACAGAAGCAAGACAAGAACTCGTCTAGAAACTAAGGCTTGTGAACTTTCTTTGGTAACCCAGACATTCGAAACACTGTAGAGCAATATACAGTAAAACAATGCGGTCAGTGTTTATATTTACCATGTTCCACTGTTATACTCATCAGAAGAAGCTTCGTTTACTTCCCCTGTCTGAAGAAAAACTAAAGGGTTATGTACAATTGCGAACAAAAGTCCCTTGACATTTGGCTATTACCTGACTCTTACTTGAGGATCATAGGTGAGAGTTGTAGCTGGGTGAACGTTGCCTGCCAATACTATCTTAGACAAAATAATAACATGAAATAATATTGTAAAACAAAAACAAAGAACAAATAAGTAAATAAATGTTAAAATCTCCACCTCCTTTAATGATCCTCAGGTTGATGCCAGATAATACCGAAAGTGTCGAGGAAATTTTGTTCGCAAGTGTACACTCAAAAATGAAAGAAAAAGTAGCCACTGAATAAAAAAAACAAAAAAAAATTGATATTATTTCACTTTTCAGTTATTCTGAAGAGATATGTACAGTACAGTTTAAAAAAATACATATTGAATAAAATGTATTTACAATTTGAAGAAAATGGATACTAAGTAATTATTACGGAAACAAATATTGTTCTTCTTTGTTCTATTCCTTTAAAAGACGAAACAAGTAAATATATGTACAATCCACCACACCCAGCAGAGCATTACACCTTAAGGGGCTGTGAGAGGTTGGCCGATACTGTGTGTGTGTGTGTGTGTGTGTTGGTGTGTGTGTGTGTGTGTGTGTGTGTGTGTGTGTGTGGTGTGTGTGTGTGTGTTTTGTTTTGGTGTGTGTTGGTGTGTGTGTGTGTGTTTGTTTTGGTGTGTGTTGGTGTG